ACGTTGGATGATAAAATCTATATTATTATTATTATTATTATTATTATTATTATTATTATTATTATTATTATTATTATTATTATTATTATTATTATTATTATTATTATTATTATTATTATTATTATTATTATTTTCATATTCTTCTAATGGTTTGAAATGCATGCAAAAGTCAGAAAATATAGCCCAAACTAACGTATTTCTTTTCAACTTTTAATTATAGTGAAATTTGGTCTTCAACCGTGAATTTGGTCATAAACAATCTAAAGACATCCATGGATTAAAAAAACAATTATATGATTTAGATGTCGTAGTTACTTGATTTTTTAACAAATAAAGTATGAAAATAGGATAAAGAATTAATGGAAAATAGAACAGGGAATCGAAGGAAGGGAGGGAGTAAGTACATAATGCTCGGTGGGGCCGGGTTTAGGAGATGATTTTTAAAAAAAAAAATTATAATAGTTGTAAATAATGGGTCCACCGAATTGAATGAAAATCGACGGTTATTTTTTAAAGTGCAATGTGACGGCTTAGAAGCGTTTATAGGATGCCACGTGATGACTTACGAGCGTTTGTAGAAAGTTTAATGGACTTTTAGTATAGATATATGATTTTTCAATAAACTACCTCTTATTCTAAACTGCTCATTTCAATTTTATTTTATTTTCTTATTACACAACAAATGCACACGCAAACTACATCACTACACATAGTCACATACTTAGGCAAATGTGCCCCTAACACATGCTTAAAAAGACATAAACAGAAATCAGCAGCATATCTCTGATCTTATTAAAAAGACATTAGATTTGAACTCTGATGGGTAAAATCATGCTGACCCACCGAGAAATCCGAAGTCTGAAAAACAGAAATTCACCAAAAGATGAAACGGAAAGAAGGCACGTGAATCCATGTTGAAAATTTTACTTGCGTATGAAATACTGAATGGGGAAATGCATGAATGGGTGACAGCAATTCGATTTCTGTGTCCACATTAGACACCCAGAGGAAAGCATTATTTTTGTTTAATTTAAAGTACTTGACAACGAAATTGTTAAGAAATATATATATATGATCTCATCCATCCGATGGAATAGGCATTGCGGTTGCCATGCCTCCCGTTACCACAACCGGCAGAGAAGGGAATAAGGCTACCATGCCCCTTCTCTCCTTCGGCACTTCTTGACAACTGGCGCGATGGTTCGCGCTCCTGTGGTTCTGACCGTATCCCCTTGTATAAATTGAACGCTACAATTAATGAGAATCAAACCTCACTCGCACTTTGTACCGCATGAAATCACTCCACTTCAACAGTTCAGTCAAGAGCAGTTCAATTTCCCCGCAAAAAAAGAGCAGTTCAATTCTGCATGAATGTTTGATCTGTTAGAGTTCACTTTAGGATCATCTAGCTTTAGATCTACTCGGGTAGTCCTCTTGGGTGTTTGAACAAATATAGAGATGGAAAGAGAGGGTTTAGAGACCGACCAGTAGAGGTGGAGGAGGAGGAAGTGCCGGCCATCGTCGTTGTCGTCGCGTGCTTGTCGTGGACGGTGGCGACGGTGGGCTTGACGGTGATGGCGGTCGTGGCAGCGGCGGTCGTAGGCGGCGATGACGAGGCATGGTGCAGCGGTGATGCTTCCCGTCACTGGCTACGCCCCCTCGATCGGTTAGGGTTTTGTGGGTGGAGTTGGCGGCGGAACCGAACCTCATATCATGTGCCGCCCCGGCCTCCACCCTCTATTTATATGGCGCAAGGTGACGGGGGCCCACCAGTCAATGGGCTGGGCGCCCCCGATCAGGGCGCGGGTCAAGGTCCCCTTGTGTCGTTGGGCTCAAGGGGAGGGAGATCTATCTAATATTCTCCCCCTTGATCTCACTATTTCTTTTAGCTTTTTTCTATTCCATCATAGATTTGCACATAGAGCATGTTTCATCGTCACGGTTAATCACTGTTGGATTTGACAGCTACTATACACATCTCTATTCAGAAACATATACTTTAACTTTTGGGCCCTGTAGTCCAGGATTCATAAGGCTTCTCTTAAACCCATGCCGGCTACATGTTCCTTGAACACGTTGGGTGGTAGGCCTTTCGTGAGCGGATCCGCGAGCATCCTTTCTATTCTAATGAGCTCGAGACTGATTGTTTGATCCCGGACTTTGTCCTTCACAACATAGTACTTTATGTCAATGTGTTTGGCAGCACCACTTGACTGATTGTTGTGAGCGTACATTACTGCGGGTTCGTTATCGCAGTATAACTTTAGTGGTTTCTCAATACTGTCAACCACCTTTAAACCGGGTATGAACTTCTTTAGCCAGTTCACCTGCCCCGTGGCCTCATAGCATGCTATAAACTCGACATACATAGTAGACCCTCCAGTGATAGTCTGTTTTGAGCTTTTCCATGAAATAGCTCCTCCTGCAAGGGTGAACACGTATCCCGATGTTGACTTTGCATTATCTTTTGCAAAATCAGAATCTGAATACCCCACTATCTGGAGCGATTCTGATCTTCTGTAGGACAACATGAGGCCTTTTGTACCTTGCAAATAACGCAAGACTTTCTTTACTAATTTCCAGTGCTCTGGGCCTGGATTACTTTGAAATCTGCCAAGTAACCCAGTGACAAATGCCAAGTCAGGGCGTGTGCACACTTGCGCATACTGTAGGCTTCCCACAGCTGACGCATATGGCTTTATTTTCATTTAGTTGAACTCATACTAATTACTGGGACATTGCCATGCCCCATACTTTTCGCCTTTGACTATAGGAGTAGGTGTAGCACTGCATCTGTACATGTTGAATTTCTTCAACACCTTTTCTATATATGCCTTTTGAGAAAGTCCCAATGCATACTTTGTTCTATCTCGGTGAATCTCTATGCCCAAAACATATGAAGCCTCACCGAGGTCTTTCATGTCAAAGTTTGAGGACAAGAATTTCTTTGTTTCCTGCAGTAGACTGACATCACTACTAGCTAGTAGAATGATATCACTACTAGCCAGTAGAATGTCATCTACATACAGAATTAGGAAAATGAATTTCCCATTCTTAAACTTTGTATAAATACAATTGTCCTCAATATTCTCTTGAAACCCAAATTTCTTTATTGTCCCATCAAACTTCAAGTACCACTGTCTCGAAGCTTACTTTAATCCATAAATGCATCTCTTTAGACGACACCCCATATTATCGTTTCCTTTCACGACAAAACCTTTCAGTTGTGCCATGTATACTTTTTCCTCCAAATCTCCATTTAGAAATACCGTTTTTACATCCATCTAATGTAATTCCAAATCATAATGTGCCACCAGTGCCATTATTATCCTGAAGGAATCTTTACAAGAGACTGGAGAAAATGTCTCATTGTAATCAATCCCTTCTCTTTGCGTGAAGCCTTTTGCCACAAGTCGCGCTTTAAACTTTTCAATATTCCCTCTGGAGTCATATTTGGTTTTGTAGACCCATTTACAGCCTAATGTTTTGGCTCCTTTAGGAATCTCTTCTAAATCCCAGACATCGTTTAGTTTCATTGATTTCATTTCATCTTTCATGTCTTCTAACCATTCAGATGAGCGTGCGCTTCTCATGGCCTCTTCATATGAGGTGGGATCATCCTCAATATGTGACTCTTCTATATTATAAACTTCATAGTTATCACGGATAGCCAATCTTCTGACTCTTTCAGACCTTCTAGGGGCCTCCTCATTTGGCACATTCTGTACCTGAGACTCTTGTTGAGCCTCCCGTTCTGGCACATTATCTATTTGAGGCTATTGCAGCTCCTCCTCTGGTGTGGCAATAATTTCTGTTGAGTCCTGTAGAACAGGTTCCTCATTTTCATTCATTGTTGCCACAGGAGGGGTAACAACAGGTGCTGGTACCGCAACGTCATGCATTGCAGGCACAACATCAGCAGGTAGAGAGAAGAAAGGCTCCTAAGTCGACGAAGCGGGTACAGACACCCGCCTCTTCTCAAGATCAATTTCTCGAACTACTGAGCTCCCCCTAATCATTTTGTCTTCCAAGAAGACGGCGTGTATCGTTTAGACAGTAGAAACGATAACCCTTTGATCTAGAATAACCAACATAATGAGATTCATTTACAAATGTAATAATGTTCTCACCTTTCTTTGCCATGATCATTTTCAGGAAGTCAGGATAATCTTTATAGTAGTTCCTTTTCTTGCAGTGGAGACACTGATCCTTTTCAACTGTGAACTGTTGTTGCTGAGGCAGATGCTGAGGCTGTTTTGCTTTTGAGGAGGGTGTCTTGTAGTTCTTTTCCTTGTTATCTTTAACAAAGTTAATAGAGCCACCATTGGACTCTTTTGATTCTTTTCTCCTCTTGCACACAATTAGCGATGAGCTTTTCAAAATTCCATTTCTTTGGACTTATTTTGTAGTTGACAACAAAGTTGTCAAAGTGCTTTGGCAATGAGGCCATAACCAGATGGATCAGAAAGTAATCTAAGATGCCCAAATCCATTGGCTTCAACTTGGAAGCCATGTTGCTCATCCTAAGAATGTGGTCTCTTACACCACCTCCATGGTACCTCTCTGTCACAAGCTGCTTTATCAGCTGTGTAGCATAAATCTTTGAAGAACCAGTAAACTGGCTCTTTATTATTTTGAGGTACTCAAAGACGGTGTCACACTTTGGGATTAAGCCCAATATAGTTGGCTCAATTGTGTTCTTTACCGCAGCCAAACATTTCTTGTTGGCTAAGGACCATTTCGCATGCTCAATGTCATACGACATTATGAGGGGAGCATTGTCCCTCTCTCTCTTTTGCCAGTCAGCATCTGACTCTTTTTCACCTCTGACAAGTGCAGCAGGTTCTATCGGATATGGGGTGGTCAACACCCAGTCCACCTTTCCTAAGATAAAAGCAAGGTCGAGTTTTTTTTTCCATTCTGCGTAGTTATCTCCCTTCAAGGTCGGAATATCTTTAATGCAACCCATAGGAGTAGCCACCTGAAATAATCATGTACAGTGAGAACAAAATTAACATTAAAATGTTATGCATTAAATCTACATCACCGTTAGGCAAAAATAGAGATAACACATAAGGCCATAACTATAACATTGCAATTAACAACGTTGGTCAGAAAATTACAACATCATAGTACAGAATTAATGTTCCTAAAATTAAATTCTCCCGTTGGTTCGAAATTTAAATTTAGAAACACTAATTTTTATCAATTTCATCTATTTGCAGCGGAAGATCTATATAAAATTCATATGAACAGTAGCAAATTATGTTATTTACACTATGTAAAAATTACACCTTTGGTTCAAAATTTAAACAGAGGTAAGGCATGCAAAATCGATTAAAAAATCTATTGAAATTTGCATGAAAATAGACAAAATAAAAAGAAAGTCGCTACCGTTCCTTTTCTTCATTTTGGCCCATCAAAGAAGTCGGCCCATCGCCGGGCGTGTGCGGGCGCCCCCCTCCCCCCAGGCCGCAACCTGGGCCTGGGCCTGAAAGCCGCCGCCGCGCGCCTCCCATCTTGGGCTCAATTTGGCCTGGCTGACGCCGGCCATCCAATCGCTAGGGTTTCGATCGGATGGCCAGGCGGAGAGATCGGGCGGTAAAATAAACCCGACCCCCAGCCGCCGGCCAAAAACCCTAGCCTCTCTTTTCTCTCTCGCGCACGACCGCGCGACGCGAAGGTCGCCGCCGCCGGCGACCTTCGCGTCGCCGCGCCTTGCACCGCCGGCGTCCGGGCAGCGCCTCGCCCCGCCGCCATCTTTTCTCTTTCCCCTCACCATCTCTAGCCCTCCACCCCTCTACCGAGTGAAGTGAGAGAGAGAGACGGCCGAACGAGATGGCAGCGCCACCGCGGGCCCCCTCGCCGGCACGTGCGTGCACCCGCTGGTGCGCGCACGGCCGTCGAGGGGCTCCTTGACGACGCCCTGTGCCCTCCCCCATTCCCCCTTTGCCGGCGTTGACGATGGCCAGCGACGAGGTAAGGATTTAGGGTTAGGTTTTTTGGTTTCTTTTATTTCTTTTTCTTTGGATTTCTTTCCCCGAACCGATCTAATCGCTAGGGTTTGGCTCTGATACCATCGTTAGAGTTCACTTTAGGATCATCGAGCTTTTGATCTAGTCGGGTAGTCCTCTTGGGTGTTTGAACAAATATAGAGATGGAAAGAGAGGGTTTAAAGACTGATGGGTAGAGATGGAGGAGGAGGAAGTGCCGGCCATCGTCGTTGTCATCGCTCGCTTGTCGTGGACGGCGGCAACAGTGGGCTTGACAGCGATGGTGGTCGTGGCAGCGGCGGTCGTAGGTGCGACGACGAGGCGTGGCGCGGCGGTGATGCTTCCCGTCACTGGCTGCGCCCCCTCGATCGGTTAGGGTTTTGTGGGTGGAGTTGGCGGCGGCAGCGAACCTCGTATCATGTGCCGTCCCGGCCTCCACCCTCTATTTATATGGCGCAGGGTGACGGGGGCCCACCAGCCAATGGGCTGGGCGCCCCCGATCAGGACGCGGGTCAAGGTCCCCTTGTGCCGTTGGGCTCAAGAGGAGGGAGATCTATCTAACATGATCTGGCTTTCTCCAAGACCCAAGCCAAAAACCGATTCAGGCTCTTTTTCCAAGTCAAACCACATAATCTAGTTCTGCTTTTATATTCTTTTAGCGTGCGTTCTACACATAGCATCACAAATTTTATCTAACATACATAGTAGTATAGTACTACTTAAATAGTCGGAGACTCGCATTAGTAATAATAAATCTCTGAACTTGCTAAACTTTTATGAAAAGCCCAACTACTGATCACATGCCAGTAATATTCATAGGCATAACAGTTTTTTTTTAATTATGCATAGGAAGGAGAGGAAGAAGAAAATAGCTAGTACTAATTAAGACGATGCAGCCGATAGAGAATCATTGTGTATAAAACTAGAAAACCGTAGTGTTTGGTAACCTACTACGCGTTCTTCTCATCCCACCGATCGATCGCGCGAGCTTGCTATGCCGCAACATGCACCGTCCGATCGAAGTGTTTCCTGCATGCTTCACTGCGATCCGGCCGTCCACGAGCACAATCAAGCTTGATTAATTTCTGCTGGTTTGTTTGCGGCAATGAGGCTGACGACGCGTTAATCATTTTGGGTGACGTTACCAGCTGACGTATGTGATCTTCATCTTGTGTTCCAAGTTTCAAAAGCTTCGCTCGATCTTGAGCTTTTGATATATCGTGGCTCTCAATTAGCTCTTGCTGACTGGCAGCTCTAAATCAACGAGCACAAGCTTGTTGGCTATAGCTCTTATCCTCTTGGCCTCTTGGCGAGCAAAATATATCTAATCTTAGCCGTTTAGTGATAAAATCCTTTCAAAAGTAGTAGATGTAAATCCTCAATCAAGAAAAAGTAACGAAAATTAACCCAAAATCAAGGCAAATCGATCGATTTGTAGGCAACGCAAAAACAGATACTCCGCTCTAAGTAGTAGGAGAATCTTCTAGTATAGGGCGTGGAGCTAGCATGGAACAATTCGAAGAAATTAATCAAGAAACCGGAAACTAACCAATTATGTAATTAACAACAAAATCCATCACAAGAAGAGCAAAAAAAAAAGCTGCAGAAGCAGCAAAAGTAATTCATATAATTGGTTGAGGAATTATTAGAGAATACTACTCACATATTGTTGAGTACCCAGCTGCGCACGGCGTGCCTCGCCTGATATGATCCAGCAAACGATCCGCCGCCGCCGCCATCGGAAGCGAGAACGACGACAGAGCAAGAGGTCGAGCTAGCGTGCAAATGGCCGCAGTGTTGCTGGCACGCGGCAATAGTCGAGGCGGCGGAGTCAACCTACTAGGTAGGTAGTGTGGTCTCAACTCTCTCTAGGGCAGACGATAGCTGTGGTTGCAGAGCTGGTGGTCGTGGTGGGCGAGATAGATGACTAATTTGCAGCTAGCCGCGCGTGTGGGCCGCCGCGCGACCACCCCGCGTTTTCCATTTCGGCCCAGGTGACGCCGGACCGTGCGCCTCCACTTTCCGTCTTGGGTTTTCTTATTTCAGCCCAGCTCGCGCGATCAGTTCAGCCCATCTGTCTAAATTTTGTATACATATGGATATAAACTTTGAATTTATAAGTATACAAACTTTGCATATGTCTTTACATTTTTTATACATCAAAAGTATGCGTATACATAAAATACACTCACACACACATATACACGTATGATATGTGCATCTGCTTCCTCCGCACGCCACCACCTTAATTTGCTCCCTGTACAGTGTCACCACCGCTACTCCCTTCGCACAAGCACCGCCCCTTCTACCTCCGCGCCGTCGCTCCCTTTATCTCTCGACATGTCAGTTGCTTTATCTCTCGACATGTCAGTTGCTGCTTCTCCCTCAACGTGCCTCCATCCTTGCTCCCTCCGTATGTGTCGTCGCTTTCGCTGCTCCCTCTGCGTGCCGCCACCCCTGCTACCTCCGCACACACTGCCTCCGCGCCGCTCTCTCCGCTCACCGCCACCCCTTCTCGCTCCGTGCGCCAACGGCACCGCTCCCTCCTCCTGACCTATTCATTGCTACTTCTCCCTTCGCACACATCGTTGTCGCTCCTACTCTCTCCACGTGTGCCGCCGCCCCCTTCTCCCTCCACATGCAGGTGACGTCGCTCCCTCGTTCCCCGCCCGTCCGCTACACCAGCCTCCCAATATGAAAGGGGATGAGAAGAAAGTTGGAGATAGGATTGTTGTGTACTCATGGGCATTTTGGTACTTTTGGCTAATAAATACATGCTTTTTTTTTGTTTTTTTATATACAAAACCTTAACGTGTAATGGAAACACGGTCAAATGATAACTTCAATTTTAAAAAATAGGATCAAATGCAAACATGAAAATGTGAGGTTAGATTGGTAGAATAAGGTCAAATAAGCAATTATCCTAATTTATTATTCTTCTTAGAGAAAGGTACCTGAACTAATTTAATGGTTCACTTAGCCCACTAAAGTTTTTTTTTTGCCTTATCTTACCCCTAAACTGTTAAAAATGTTTCACTTTGCTCCTTAATAACATGTACATTTTCTTACCCGTCATACAAGTTGCATTTTAAGCTAAAATGTACCAGCGGTATTTTAAGCTAAAATTTGTTAGGAGCCATAGATGGCACCATTAACGAAGTTCAAAAGTATTTTCAAATTTTTTTTCATCGATGTTTGCTTGAACTTAATTTTGATGTTTGAATCACTTTCAACCTAAGTAAACAGTGAGAATTCTTTTTTTACAAAAAATGTTGAAACCTAAATTGTGAACGCATCTATGTTCTACCAAATTTCCAGAGCAAAATTGACTTAGATAGAGAGAGTAAAAAATACTGCTAGGGGGGTTCGAGGTGTAAAATGAGAAAAAAAAGTTTAGGTGGTTAAGTGCTATGATGAAATGGTTACTTTTTTTTCTTACTCTTTATTACGAGCCACCTATCTTGTCGTCATCTAGTCCACCACTGTTCTCACAAATTAAGGATTATTAAAGCCTATTAGAAACATATATTGTTTGTATGGACTTTGGGATTAATTAGTTAGTAAACAAATGTTAAAAAATAATGTAAGGTTATACTCTCTCCGTCCCAAAATATAATAAGTGGCTATTAAGGAGAGAGGTAAAAGAATAATGCATGGTTGCCTCTCCTTGGGATGAATGGAGTATAGCCGTATAGGCCTGGACAAATTGGGGCTATAACAAAGGGATAATATGGTTAATTTAGTGGTAAAAGTCACATTTTATAATACTGGGTTGCTTTATTTGGGATAAGGTTTAAACTATTTTATGATGCAAGGAGCAGTATTTTTCCAATGCCCTAGCTAAGCTAGGGCCTATTCTTTTTAGATGACGCAGCATATTCTGATAATATAAGATAACTTACTTATAACAATGAATTAAATATTACATTATAGAGTTAACAAATAGCTTCAAAAAGTTACCAAGCAAGGCTAATGAATAATTATTTTTCTGGAGCATTGTACTTTGAAGCATGGCACCAATAATGATGTATTGATAATCAGCCCCAGTTAATTAGCTCATTCCAACAGGGCAGTCATTCAGAGCCACAGGCAAATCTTCCCAAAATATAAGACCATGAAACGTCAGGACAACAACAATGAAGGAATAGAAGTAAAAGGAAAAAAAAAAGGATCGATATTTGAACCTTGGAGCCCTAGACTTTAATTAGTAATCCATATAAGAGCTAAGTGTATAGGTTGACAAGGAATTAAAATACTTAAAAAGAAACATACAAAATATGTGAAAAAACAAATTTCCAAAAACTATGTCGAATTCAAGCTGGGAGTGCTAAAATTGACAAAAATGGTTCCTAAACTTCCTATCGTCCGTTCGACAAGAAGCCCAAATCCCAAACGCTTTAACTAGGCGGGTCTCACCGAATCTTTATCTACTCACCAAACACCATCAACACATATATTTCTCCACCACACACTCCAATCTTATCCCATCTCTCCCTTATCTCTCTCCACTACAACACTACCTCATCACGAGCAGCGACAGGGCTCTTGTCCTCGACGGCTATCTCCTTAGCTTACTCAAGGGCAGCTTGGTCAGCCTCGGCTTCCTCAACGACAACGTGGCATAACATCAGCGGTCACTTGTTCCCAACAGCTACGCGATGAGCTTGAACTTGGCTTCCACAATGATCCATGCTTTCATCAAGTGTGGCGCCGCATAATTGCAGCATACTAGTGTCGAGTTCGGCGACAGTCAGTCACTGGAGAGGAGAAATAAGTACTTTAGACTGTTTTTTTTTATGTTTCAGCCAATATGTTTTTGATGTTCCTTTGTATTGGATCAAAATCTTGCAGTGAGGTTTTTTGTATTGTTTCATATTCTGTCCTTGAAGAGTGAGATTCGTGGATGTTTCAAACGCTACACTAAAATGTTTTACCATATGATTCAATTATGTTTCACCAAAATACACAATGATTATAGCACTTTGCCTTTGCTTAAGCATTGGAGTATTTATGTACTCCCTACCATTGCATGTGGCTGCAAGGTCAGTAATCACAGTAACCTACTCTACTAGAAAATGCATTTTTCCCGACGTGGAGGTCTTATTTTCACAGTCGGACATGACTCTTGGAGCCAAATGACCGTCTAAAAAAAATATAAATCGGCATGACGTTCGCTGTCCGCCTGCGAAAATCTATTTTCGCACGCGCCTCTATTTTCACAGGCACACCTTATGTGGTCTGCCTGCAGAAATAGTACCTACCAAAAAAATCTAGTCATCCTCATCCGTATCCTCTCCTCCACCATCCTTATCCTCTCCTCTCCACCACTCGTTTCCCTTCCCCTTCTCTCTCTCTCTCTCTCCCCCACACTTAGAAGAATCGCCCGGCTCCCTCCTCTCCCACGTCCACGCGCCGCCGCCTCCCTCCTCGACGACGACGACGACCGCGACGCCGCCGACGGCTCCATCCACTCTAGATCCGCGTGCTGCCGGCTCCCTCCTCTCCCACGTCCGCGCCGCTGGCTCCCTCCAGGACGACATTTGCGCGCCGCCGCATCCCTCCTCACCGCCGGTGGCCTCCCTCCTCGACGACGATGACGACGACTGCGACGACGCCGACGGCTCCCTCCTCTCCCACGTCCGCGCCGCCGGCGCCCTCCATGACGACGTCCGCGCGCTGCCGCATCCCTCCTCGCCGCCGGCGGCCTCCCTCCTCGACGACGACGACGACCGCGACGCCGCCGACAGCTCCCTCCGCTCTAGATCCGCGCGCCGCCGACAGCTCCCTCCGCTCTAGATCCGCGCGCCGCCAGCTCTCTCCTCTCCCACGTCCGCGTCGCCGGCTCCCTCCACGACGACGTCCGCACGCCGCCGCATCCCTCCGCCGCTGGCCACGACGAGCGACGACGACGGCTCCAGATCCGCGCGCCGCCGGCTTCCCTCCTCGCCGCCTCCGCCGGCCACTTCCTCTCCTCCCCTCCGTCCGCTGCCGTCGGCGCCCGTGGTGAGGCCGGCGGCGGCGCCCCATGGTTTTTTTTATTTTCCTGAGATGATTTTCACAGCCGGGCTGTGGCCCGCCTGCGAAAATGGTCTATTTTCACAGTCGAGATGGTAGCGGCGGTCCTCTCCTCCGCCTGCGAAAATGGTTTTGGACCGCCTGGAAAAATCTTTTTTCTAGTAGTGCTAATCTACTGCTGCATGGACGGTGGAGCCCGGGCAACTGCCCGTGGTGGCCAGGTCCTGGCTCCGCCAACATAACACAAGCTTTTTTTTTTTCTTTTTTCGCGATCGATCACACATGAAAATTGAAAAGGCAGAATTATGCATTTTTCATATTAGTTTTGTTAACGTAAATCTATGCAATTTGATCCCTGTTGCCAGCTATTTCTGAAAGGATTCCATGGTTATAATCATGAAAATGATCCTGCACTGGTCCATACTTTTTTTCTTTGGTCTCAATCCTGCACAATAGTTTCTTTACAGAGTTTTCCTCCTGACAAAAGAAAATGATATATAAAACTGGCACAATTTATTGACATTTGCATCATAATTGGTTAGTGCCCTAATGGCAAGTGTTCTACTCAAGGGACTGTCCTGAGTATTAACTTAAGAAACTCTGAAGTTGCCATCGATTGCAACTGTTCATAGTGACCACATTCTTAAGTTAATACATCATGAGTTTGTTATATTTCTTTCCACTTCTCTATATGTATAAAAAAAATAGTGTTCTCTGACCATGCTTTTTTGCGATTATCTGACAATATATAAACAATGTAATGTTTTCTGAAGACATTTGTATCTCTGTATCCCTCTCCCCCATCCTTTTTGTTCTGTGGGGTGGATGGATGGGCCTATCAAAAGGTTGTTCCATTATCATTTGAATGCACCTATAATAAGAACTAACAATTGGCAAACAACAGTTTTCCTTCAGAACTAGGGACTGTTGTTTCAATCCAAAAATAGTCATAGTTTTACTGCCATGTCTCTTATAGCTTTTGCTGCTGTGCGACTAGCCCATCATGATGATCTGACTTACAATGCTTGTGTCTCTTGCTCTTGATCTCCTTCTATCAGTCACTCTAGGTGCAGCTAATTTCTGTTCGTCTCCTGACATTTCTAGGGATGCAAGATATCGAAGATCGATGGAAATTGCTGCCGCCTACAAGGTGCAAGAAATCATCACATCCGGCATTTAAGTGTGTGAAAGACTGGTTCTGATTTTTTTTTTTGCTTTGTTGTGTTTCTTCTCTGTGCCATAGCTAGAAGCTAGACTGAAAACAACTATGGTATTTTTAGGCTTTTTTATCTTAGTGAATTCATGTAAAAATATTTAGTTATGGTTCTATCCAGTTTTTGATGGTTGTTCTTGAAGGGTACTAGTTACTATTTTTAGCAGGAGTGCCATAGGAGCTAATTTAGCTAAACTTGTTGCATCGGTTAATAACACCATCGAATATTTCATTTGCCAACCTTTTGTAGACCTGAATTTTGAAAACCAATTAGAAAGTAGACACGGGCTATAATGAGCGCCTCTTGGCGCGCTAATTTTTTAAGTATATCAGTGCATTCACATAGTACTCGATTTTTTTAAATAAATGTTTTGATTCGTGCATGAATCACTGTTTTGCAGCCATACCACAAGCTGACTTAAAAATTGCAAATTGCTGAAAGGTACAATCGTATAAGAAACAAAATGATTTTCACATCACTTCGCAAACTACATTTTTTCCCTACAACCACCGGAACTCAATATAGTTCCTACGCAGCTTCATCATTCATAACAGAACAACTAGCAAGTTCAATTCAATTTAAAGAGATCGAATGGTGATTCACACTCTAAAGCAAACTTAGACTAAAAATTAATAGTATCTTTAAAGATTAACCTTAAGGGTAAAAAAATCTGCAATCCCTGCAAACAATAATGCTTGCTTCAATATGGTATACTTAGTCATATACATGGACATTCTCCAATAAAACATTTTGTTTTTTTTGACGCAAATAATAAAACATTTTGTAATCTACAGCTCATAACTCAAACCATATTGACCATCTCATGAAAAGTCACATTACACATCACAAATTAATTCCAGCCACAACTTTTAGTTCATGTGCTCACCTATTGGATTTGCATGAAAGGGGCAGGGCTGAGTAGCAAATTGACGCACAGTAACAGCAGATGCAGATCCAGTAGAGTGAAGGGAGCAGGATTTTAGTGGGAATCAACTTTCGTAACTGTGGCATTTGGGGAGTTCATATAATTCTAAACTAACATGGTAGGTTGTCTGTAGCTCATATACAAATAATCTGCACCCAAACCAGTGCCAAAATATACGAACAAATGCAGAAATTCGCTTAGGCAATACTGCAAACACCTTAAGTGCGCAAAAAACTGAAGTAAATTTAAACGATGTAAATGGAGAGGAATGAACCTGCAGATGTCACAGTGTTCAGTGCAGATGTCGATGGTGGCACCGCGATGGGCAGAAGGCGGGCGGGCCGCAGGGCGCTCGACGGCGGCGAGTCTCTCCCACGAGCTAGGTCACCGGGCGGCGCTACGGCGCATCGATGGGCAATGCCGCAGCGGGCGACGGTCGGCCGTCGACAAAATGCCTCCAAATGCTGTACATCCTGTAGTGTCTGAGGATGGTAGGTGGGTTTGGCCACCAACCAGGCAAAACCACACAATTCCCCCATCCTTGGCCTTGCGCTTGCGCATTAGGGTGAGCCAAAAAGAAATTAAAAAAAAAAACAACTGAGGTTTCTTTCCCTCAACACATAAATACCCGACAATGCCCTAGCCGCTCGACGTTCATACCGCAGCATAGAGCACACGCTTGGTGTCGCGGCGGCGGATTGATGGCAGGGAAGACGGATATCATCCGCGATATCATCGGCGGCTGGGTGGTGGACGAGACGTGCGTATATATTTTTGTCTACTACTACATTCCCTGATTACAGAATTTTCTGTGTTGGAGTTAGTTTTCTTCTTCTTCTTCTTCTTCTTCTTCTTCTTCTTCCAGGTTTGGTTTTGCTCTTGTGATTGATGGGATTTCCGAGGTACATCGGTTTCCGGTTTCCGAGTAATCGCTCTACTATTTTAGGTCGACTACGATCTTGGGGATAATTACATTGCTTCCTTTTTTCTTGATGATAGAGGGTCTATGTGAATGCTGCTATACTATGAATATGATTAACGTGGACAACGGCTGATGGATTTGATTCGATGCGAGCGGCCGTTGACATGTGGGCCCCACTCCAACAATGACTAAGGTTGCTCATTTTGGCCCAGGTCATCGTGAGGCCCATTAAGCCCATCTGCCCACGTTGTGATGCCCAGATGCCCTAGTTGCAACCGCCGCCGCCGCCATCTCTGCGGCGGTGTCCGGATTCTTCTTCTTCTTCTTCTTCCCTCGTCATCCGGGAACGCGGCGAGGAGGCGGCCTGGCTACAGGACGTCTTCTTCTTCCCTCTCGTCTTCCCCCTCTTCTCCAACCTTCTCTTCACGGGCCAAAAAAAATCTTTGGTAATTGGTACGGTCCGCCATGCGGGCGGTGCCTTGTCGAGCTCGGAAGACGGCATGAGTGCTGTAATATTGGTTGGATTCAGTTATGAAATTAAGTAGTACTGAATAATGAGATTCGGGTTGGATCAAATTTATTCGAACGGGATCGGTTTTGTTCTTTTGTTTTTGGAAAGAACCGAATAGTTTCTTTTTAACTATTTCCTCATTTTAAAGAACGGTATTATGCGATTCAAATCAAATCTACGCAAGTCAAAATTTCAACAACCAGTTGCGTCAACATGCTTTTTGTCTGGTTAAAAGAACTGAAAGTACGTACTATGCTTTTTCTCTGCTTTGATGTGTGATCTTAGTCCTTTTGTTCCTTTCTTGTTATTCTCTGAATTTCTCCTGTCCGTATTCTAAATTGGAAAATTGCATTGATCATGAGCAGTTTGCGTTGTGTGTCACAAAATCATGAGGATTCAATTAATTACTTGTTCATGAGGGTGGTGTATATGCCATTGTGATTTAGCTTTCTGAGGATTCAATTAATCTCTCATTTAGGGGATAAGAGGATAGATTCTGAAAATATATAAGATGGCACCTGGATGTCATTGTGATTTAGCTTTTAATTAATCTCTCATTTAGGGGATAAGTGGATAGATTCTGGAAATATATAAGATGACACCTTGATGTCATTGTGAAGCTTTAACATTTTTTTTAAGGTATTTAGCTTTTACTTCGATCTGAATTTCTAAACCCACCATTTTTTTCGTTTGTGTTCAACCAGAGATGCGGCATTGGCTGGACTTCGTGTGGCAGAGCGTGCCTATTGGAAGGAATTTGTGGACAGAGTATTGAAAGATACCAGCAGCATTGATATAACTGCGTCAAATATAGCTGTTCCCACAAGGCTACCTGTCGAGCTGCAAGTCCTGATCAAGGTTATGATCCACCAGATTCTTAACACTCAGCCTGGAGCAATCCCTCCACTAGCATTTCATTGGTGTTGCAATCAGCTTCTTCAGCATTTGGTGAATTCAGTAAGAACCCAAGGACAGCCAACTGTTGAACCAAATGTACATGGACATCAACGTTGCAGGGGTGCAGGTTGGTCATCGGGGATTCCCGAACGATTGGCCGATCGAAATGTTTCAGAAGATGGAGGTATTGGAGGAGTTGATTCGAGGAGGAACATTAGAGAGATGAATGGTAAAATTAAAGAGACAAATGCAAGTCGTGAGTCACCCCGAATCCTCAAGCCTACTGGTGAGCCAAACCCATCCACTGGTGGCATACGGATTCAGAATAATCGGCAAGAGCAACCTGCAGAAATGACCATTTTCCATCCATGGAAAAACATTACTGATAGAACATCAGCTTATGAGCTAAGCCATATTGACAACTTGGTTAATCATGAAGATGATGAGACAAAGAGGCAGAAAGAACAGAGTGTTCACATCACTCTGTTGTATGAGATCAACCTCATCAACGAAGAGCTTTTCGATACCGTGATCAGTATCACCGGTCACAAACATGGTGGGACAGTGATCAAATTCAGCTACAATGCAGTGTCTCTTGCACAAGACATGGAGCTACCATTTGCAGCATACGGAACGTCTCCTCTCAAGCCGGCGAAGCTATTTGTCCCAGCTGATTATCCTCGAAGCTCCCCGGTGTACGAAGATGGTGATGAACAGCACCAGGGAATGTACAGCGTGATTTCAGGCATGGTTGACAAGGTGTTCCAGCGTGCCCTGCGTAAACTCCCGGTGCCAATGTCGATCAGGGACATGGCCCGGCAGTGGGGCATCTCCGTGCGAACGGTCACCAACGGTGGAGGAACGTTCAGCTCCGGGTATGGCCAGTGGGAGAGTTGCACCGATGAGTTTGCAAGTCCATAGTCCATGGATAGACCCATGAAGTTTTGCAGGAACAAGTGATATGAAGAATAATGCTGATCTGCTGTTTTGCTGTAGGGCAGATGCAGAATCCAGTGTGAGTGTTGTGAGAGAATATTTATATTTTTGTTATGCATTAAGAGGCTGTGTGGATCATCTGTTTTTGATTAAACCGGTTTTGCTTAAAAAATATTTCTTACTACGGTTGTGAATTGTGATATTTATCTGTTTGGACTGTGTAATTGGAATGAGCGAATTTGCTAGTAAAACATGTTTTCTGAAAACTGGTTCGTATCTTTTAAGATCCAAACAACCACTTAGAGTTTTTATTGGCAAATACTTTGGTCGTTAATCTTGCACGTGCAGGCTTATGCAATTATTGTGCAACAGTTCATTTCATACTTCATACTCCGGGCAAGTAGTATGAACTGAAATGTTGCAACGGGCTTATGCAAGTAGTATATATATGTTCGTCTGAAAATTTTTCACAGGAATTGAACTGTTTTAGTTCGATGCAACAAGATGGAAGTCTGCAATGCATCCGGGTCTGACATTTTATTTGCCACATTCTGCTTGACACATGGAGTTCCTCATACAGATGTTCTTCGGCTGCGTCTGACAAAGTTTAGCAAACTGAAAAGTGAACTTATGCCTATTTAGAAGCGCACATATCTCAAACAAATTTTGTGGGCCTCATCGTTTGCCCTATATAGAATCAACTACTACTGCCAAAGTTTAATTTTTAAAACTTAATTTTGAAGCTTTTTCATTGAAATTTTTAGAATTACCTTTTAAGTCGTTAAAAACATAGAGTATATAAAAGTTTTTACCTATAATTTTTAGTCCCTCCGGACAACATTATTTTTTGTGAACAGGCTGTACGGCGTATTCTCAGTATATAGTTTTTAAGCAGAAGTTTCAGTCTGATTTCTCCATGAACCTGCAAGAAAGAAAAATGCGGAAGTACTGTCCTTAACCATGGAATCCTTTCAGAAATAACTGGCAACAGGGATCAACTTGCATAGATTTACGTTAACAAAACTAATATGAAAAATGCATAATTCTTCTATTTCCAAGAGGTAAAGTGTTTCATTTTAATTTTCATGTGTGATCGATCGAAAAAAAAAAAGAAGCTTGTGTTATGTTGGTGGAGCCAGGACCTGGCCACCATGGCAGTTGCCCGGGCTCCACCGTCCATGCAGCAGTAGATTAGGATTTAATTACTGTGATTACTGACCTTGCAGCCACATGGAGTACATAAATACAATGCTTAAGCAAAGGCAAAGTGCTATAATCATTGTGTATTTTGGTGAAACATAATTGAATCATATGGTAAAACATTTTGGTGTAGCGTTTGAAACGTCAAGTTTCAATTGTTGAAACATCCACGCAGGGACAGATCCAGAACAAAAAATGGGGGGAGGGGGCTCAATTACACGGTTTCTTTAACCTCCAGTTATATAGGAACCTTTAGTTTATTATTCATGGTGAAAAAACTAAAGGGGTACTCCGGGGGTATCCATAGATCTTGTGGGTGTAGGGGGGACTCGAGTCCCCCCTGCACCCACGTTGCATCCGCCCCTGCATCCACGAATCTCACTCTTCAAAGACATAGAATATGAAAAAAAAAACTCACTGCAAGATTCTGATCCAATACCAAGGAACATCGAAAACATATTGGCTGAAGCATAAAAAAAAAGTCTGAACTACTTATTTCTCCTCTCCAGTAACAGACCGACGCCAGAATCGATACTAGTTTGGTACAACCATGCGGCGCCACACTTGATGAAAGCAAGGATCATCGTGGATGCCAAGTTCAAGCTCGTCGTGTTGCCGTTGTAAACAAGTGGCCGCTGATGTTGTGACACGTTGTCATTGAGGAAGCCGAGGCTGACCGAGCTGCCCTTGAGTAAGCTAAGGAGATTATCATCGAGGACAAGAGCCCCGTCGCTGCTCGTGATGAGGTAGTGTTGTAGTGGAGAGAGATAAGGGAGAGAGAGAGAGGATACGATTGGAGTGTGGTGTGGAGAAATAGATGGGTTGATGGTGTTTGGTGAGTAGATAAAGATGAAGGAGAAGGATTCGGTGGGACCCACCTAGTTGAAGCATTTGGGATTTGGGCTTCTCGTTAAACGGACGATAGGAACCATTTTTGTCAATTTTAGCACTATCAACTTGAATTCGACATAGTTTTTGGAAATTTGTTTTTTCACATATTTTTTATGTTTCTTTTTAAGTATTTTAATTCCTTCTCAACCTATACACTTAGCTCTTATATGGATTACTAATAAAGTCTAGGGCTCCAAGGTTCAAATATCGATCCTTTTTTTCCTTTTACTTCTATTCCTTCATTGTTGTTGTCCTGACGTTTCATGGTCTTATATTTTGGGAAGATTTGCCTGTGGCTCTGAATGACTGCCCTGTTGGAATGAGCTAACCGGGGCAAATTATCAATACATCATTATTGGTCCCATGCTTCAAAGTACAATACTCCGGAAAAATAATTATTCATTAGCCTTGCTTGGTAACTTTTTGAAGCTGTTTGTTAACTCTATAATGTAATATTTAATTCATTGTTATAAGTAAATTATCTTATATTATCAGAATATGCTGCGTCATCTAAAAATAATAGGCCCTAGCTTAGCTAGGGCATTGGAAAAACACTGCTCCTTGCATCATAAAATAGTTCAAACTTTATCCCAAATAAAGCAACCCAGTATTATAAAATGTGACTTTTACCACTAAATCAACCATATTAATTATCCCAAGAAGAGGCAACCATGCATTATTCTTTTACCTCTCTCCCTAATAGCCACTTATTATATTTTGGGACAGAGGGAGTATAAAATAACCTTACATTATTATTATTTTTGAACATTTGTTTACTAACTAATTAATCCCAAAGTCCATACAAACAATATATGTTTCTAATAGGCTTTAATAATCCTTAATTTGTGAGAACAGTGGTGGACTAGATGACGATAAGATAGGTGGCTCGTAATAAAGAGTAAGAAAAAAAGTAACTATTTCATCATAGCACTTAACCACCTAAACTTTTTTTTTTCTCATTTTACACCTCGAACCCCCTAGCAGTATTTTTTATTCTCTCTATCTAAGTCAATTTTGCTCTGGAAATTTGGTAGAACATAGATGCGTTCACAATTTAGGTTTCAACATTTTTTTTTAAAAAAGAATTATCACTGTTTACTTAGGTTGAAAGCACATAAAACAGATTCAAACATCAAAATTAAGTTCAAGCAAAAATCGGTTGAAAAAAATTTGAAAATACTTTTGAACTTCGTTAATGGTGCCATCTATGGCTTCTAACAAATTTCAGCTTAAAATACTGCTTGTAAATTTTAGCTTAAAATACAACTTGTATGACGGGTAAGAAAATGTATATGTTATTAAGCACTAAAGTGAAACATTTTTAACGGTTTAGGGGTAAACTACCAATCTAACTTCACTTTTTCAAGTTTGCATTTGATCCTATTTTTCAAAATTGACGTTGTTGTTTGGCCGTGTTTCCATTACACATTAAGGTTTTGTCTTAAAAAAAAGCATGCATTTATTAGCCAAAAGTACCAAAATGCCCATGAGTACACAACAATCCTATCTCTAACTTTCTTCTCATCCCCTTTCATATCAGGAGGCTGGCGTAGTGGACGGGCGGGGAACGAGGGAGCGACGTCACCTGCATGTGGAGGGAGAAGAGGGCGGCGGCACACGTGGAGGGAGTAGGGGCGACGACGATGTGTGTGAAGGGAGAAGCAGCAATGAACTGGTCAGGAGAAGGAGGGAGCGACGTCACCGGCGCGCGGAGATAGAAGGGGCGGCGCTCGTGCGAAGGGAGCAGCGGTGGTGACACTGCGCACAGAGGGAGCAAATTAAGGTGGTGGCGTGCGGAGGAAGCAGATGCACATATCATACGTGTATATGTGTGTGTGAGTGTATTTTATATATACGCATACTTTTGATGTATAAAAAATGTAAACACGTATGCAAAGTTTGTATATTTAGAGATTCAAAAAGTTTATATAAGTATGTATATAAAATTTAGACAGATGGGCTGAACTGATCTCGCGGGCTGGGCTGAAAAAAGAAAACCCAAGACGGAAAGTGGACGCGCGCGGTCTGGCGTCACCTGGGCCGAAATGGAAAACGCGGGGTGGTGGTCGCGCGGCTAGCTGCAAATTAGCTATCTCGCCCACCACGACCAGCTCTGCAATGTAACCACAGCTATCGTCTGCCCTAGAGAGAGTTGAGACCACGCTGCCTAGTAGGTTGACTCCGCCGCCTCGACCAGCAACGCTGCCGCCATTTGCACACGCTAGCTCGACCTCTTGCTCTGTTGTCGTCGTTCTCGCTTCCGATGGCGGCTGCAGGCGGCGGATCGTTGCTGGATCAGTCGAGGCACGCCATGCGCAGCTGGGTACTCAAGAATATGTGAGTAGTATTTCTCTAATAATCCCTCATCCAATTATGTGAATTACTTTTGCTGCTTCTGCAGCTTTTTTTCCCGCTGTTCTTGTGATGAATTTTGTTGTTGCATAATTATTGGTTTCTTTCCAGTTTCTTGATTAATTCCTTCGAATTGTTCCATGCTAGCTCCACGCCCTATACTAGAAGATTCTCCTACTACTTAGAGCGGAGTATCTGTTTTTGCGTTGCCTACAAATCGATCGATTTGCCTTGATTTTGGGTTAATTTTCGTTACTTTTTCTTGATTGAGGATTTACATCTACTACTTTTGAAAGGATTTTTATCACTAAACGGCTAAGATTAGATATATTTTGCTCGCCAGGAGGGTAGTTAAGAGCTATAGCCAACAAGCTTGTGCTCGTTGATTTAGAGCTGCCAGCAAGAGCTAATTGATCAAAAGCTCAAGATCGAGCGAGGCTTTTGAAACTTGGAACGCAAGATGTAGATCACATACCTCAGCTGGTAACGTCACCCAAAATGATTAACGCGTCAGCCTCATTGCTGCAAACAAATTAAACCAGCAGAAATTAATCAAGCTTGTGCTCGTGGACGGCCGGATCGCAGTGAAGCAGGAACGCTTCGATCGGACGGTGCATGTTGCGGCATAGCTAGCAAGCTCGCGCGATCGGTGGGATGAGAAGAACGCGTAGTAGGTTACCAAACACTACGGCTTTCTAGTTTTATACATATAATAATGATTCTCTCTCGGCTGCATCGTCTTAGTACTAGCTATTTTCTTCTTTCCTCTCCTTCCTATGCATAATAAAAAAAAAACTGTTATGCCTATGAATATTACTGGCATGTGATCAGTAGGTGGGGGCTTTTCATAAAAGTTTAGCAAGGACAGAGATTTATTATAATTAATGCTATACTACTATGTGTGTTAACATAATCGTAAAATTTGTGATGCTATGTGTACTGTAGAACGCGCGCTAAAAGAATATGAAAGCTGAATTAGATATGTGGTTTGACTTGGAAAAAGAACCAGAATCGGTGTTTGGCTTGGCTCTTGGAAAAAGCCATGTCAAACATTCATGCAGCTAAATTGAACTGCTCTTGACTGAACTGTTAAAGTTGCATGATTTATGTTGCGGTACAAGGGTGCGAGAGAGGTTTGATTCTCATTGATTGTAATGTTCAATTTATATAAGGGGATACGGTCGGTACCGCAGGGGCGCAAACAGTGGCTGAGCTAGGAAATTTTCAAACCAGGGCAAACTACTTAGCTAAATTGAACTGCTCTTGATTGATTATTAATGTTTAGCTAGGAAAAAGCTCGGAGTATCTAGTATTTGCTAAAATATTTCTAACTTTAATCCTTTCAAAATAATAAAAATTCAATGGTGTATTTGATGGCGAGCCTGGGCGGCTGCCCGTGCAAGCCTGGTGGTGGCCCCGCTTCTGGGTGCAAAGTGCAATCCATCGTGCCAGTTGTCAAGAAGTGCCGAAGGAGAGAAGGGGCGTGGCCGCCTCATTTCCTTCTCTACCGGTTGTGGTAATGGGGGGCATGGCCAACCGCAATGCCTATTCCATCGGATGGATGAGATCATACATATATATTTCTCAACAATTTCGTTGTCAACTACTTTAAATTAAACAAAAATAATGCTTTCCTCCGGGTGTCTAATGTGGACACAGAAATCAAATTGCTGTCACCCATCCATGCCTTTCCCGTTCAGTATTTCATAAGCAAGTAAAATTTTCAACATGGACTCACGTGCCTTCTTTCCGTTTCATCTTTTGGTGAATTTCTGTTTTTCAGACTTCGGATTTATCGGCGGATCAGTACACATAGCCGCAGTTTAAGATAGATGGTGATGGTGAAGTTGTATGTGTATGACTTTACCCATTAGAGTTCAAATCTAATGTCCATGAATACTATGCAAATGCAGGTCGACTTTTAGCATGGTTATAGTAAGATCAGAAATATACCGCTGATTTCCGTTTATGTCTTTTAAGCGTGTGTTAGAGGCACATTCGTCTAAGTGTGTAGTGATGTAGTTTGCATGTGCATTGTTGTGTAATAATAAAATAAAATAAAATTGAAATGAGCAGTTTAGAATAAGAGGTAGTTTATTGAAAAATCATATACTTTTAATCGCAGAAAAACATATTTTTTTAGAAGTGTCAAATAAATACTCCATCCGTCCTAAAATAACTCAACCTAGGATAGAAACCTAGGATAGGATGTCCGTATCCACGTACATCCGGACATTCCCATCCCATCCCCTTCTCCTCTCATCTTGTTTCTCAAGCTACAATTAATGGTGGATCCTAGCGGGCGCGCTCTCTCTCTCTGGGTCATGAATCTTCTGATAGAATTCCTACCATTGCAGCTTTTCTTAGGCTATGATGCGTTACACCGGTGAGTTGTACATGGCTCACCTCCATTCCATAATGTGCTTTTATGCACCAGCGTAAAATATTGGTTGCTCATTGGGATATCGACATATCGTGCTTCGTTTAGGCTGTGTTCGATGCAGGAGTTCCCAACTCTCCCTCTCATTTTCCGCGCATACGTTTTTCAAACTACTAAACGGTGTGTGTTTTTTTGAAAAAGTTTATATACGAAAGTTGCTTAAAAAAATCATATTGATCCATTTTTGAAAAAGAGCTAATACTTAATTAATCACGCGCTAATAGAACGCTCTGTTTTCCGTGTGTGGGTTATGGGTTCCCAACACCCACCACTGAACACAACCTAAATGTTCCCTACTACATAAAAGCACGTACAGACCGGCACTATAGGTGCCGTGGAAGTGCTAAAACTGGCACCTATAGATCTTTTTCACCTCTGCAAGCTGAAAACACAAAAAAAACCGATACCAATATATAGTTGCTAGATAATTAAAGAACCGACACTTATAATATATTATAGGTGCGTATAAAAACTGAGCAGAGCTAAGCTGTTGGTCCTTATCCTCTTGAGGCAGATAAGGGGAGGAGGACTCGGTCTCTCCCCGGTCTCCTCTCTCTCCCGGTCTCTCTCTCGCTCTCCTCTCTCTGTCTCTCTCTCTATCTATCGATCTCTCTCTTTGTCGCTTAAAGTCAACAAATAGTTGCATCAAAAGCTTTAATTTTGTCTGCTTTGATGTATGATCTCAGTCCTTTACTTCCTTCTGGATTGCTTCAGTACTTCCTTTGAAATTGGAAAATTGCATTGAGCGTGTGTGGTGATACATTCTGTGTGTAACAAAATCACGTGTTTATGAGGAATCATTTAATTACTTGTTCATCAGGCAGGTATAGACATAGTAGGAACAGGTTCTGGAAACATATAACATGACACTAGGTAGGATCTCATTGTGGCATCAATTTTTTTTGTCGACATTTATCTGAATTTCTGAACCCTATTCTTTTTGTTCAATCAGAGAGAAATTGGCAGGACATTATGGTGCAGAGTTCAACTCTTTGCGGGCATTTGAGGACAGGGTATTCAATGAGACCAGCAGCATTGATGATTATATTTCTAAAATATCAACGAAGATGGCTATTTTGGAGCGACCGCAGTCTTCTTCAGGTATGCAGCATCAAGGGCAGATGGGAAATCAAACGAGGCTGCCTACTACAGTTATGCAAGAACAGCCACAGCCACAGCAGCAGCCGCATTTGATGTCAAATAATCATCACCAAACACATGGAGGATGGCAGAGCAATGTTGCAAGGGTACAGATGATCACTGGTGTTGGAGAAGTGAATTGGAGGGAGGAAATGTTTCAGAAGATCAGCGTTTTAAAGAACTCTTTCTTTTCCGAGCTTACGGATTTTGACCGTTTACTTCACAATTGCCAAAAAACAGAAGAACAGTTGCAGTCACTACCTAAAAAGCAAGCTGACCAATACAAGCGGATAACAAAGCTCAAGGATGCGGTTAGGAGTGCTCTGGATTTATTGCAGCTCCAGAAGAGCAGCATCGATGAAGGCATGAAGGTGAAATTCTGCAAGTACGAAAGCTCCATACATAGCCTACTCAGATTCTACAGGGAAACAAAAGCTAAAATTAATGAGATGAATGCAAATCGTCATAACAATCAGCAAGAGCAACCTGCAGGCCTGCCGAGGCAAAGAATTACTGACAGAACTCCATCGTCAGCTCGTCGGCAAAACCGCAATGACAACGTGATAGGCCAATCAGAGGATAAATTGCGATGCAGGGTTGAATCAGTTGTAGCCAAGAAGAAGCCCATCGACCGCCTAATCAACGCTCTGCGGCACAGTGTAGAGGATGACCGTACGGACGTCAAGAGGCAGAAAACACGGCATGTTAACAGTGCCCTGGCGAACGAGATCGACGCCATGAACGCCAAGCTGATCGATACCGTGGTTAGAATCGCCGGTGAGAAAGATGGTGGGACAGAGATTGAATTCAGCTACACTGCAGTGTCTCTTGCACTAGACATGAAGCAGCTATTTGCAGCATATGGGACGTCTCCTGTCAAGCCGGTGAAACTATTCGTCCCTGCTGATTACCCTCGAAGTTCTCCGGTGGTCTCGAACAACAACGATGATGGAGATGAACAGCGGCGAGGAATGTTCGGCGAGATCTCGGGCATGGTCAGTGCGGCTTTTCACTGCGCGCTGCGTGAGCTCCCGCCGTCCATGTCAGTCAAGCAGATGGCCTCGGAGTGGAATTCCTGCGTGCAGATGATCATGAAGAAATTTGCGATACGGCACGGTGGAGGAACGTTCAGCTCCAGGCATGGCCAGTGGATGGATTGCACCGTTGAATGATTTAGTACCGTGAGGTACCGATACCTCGAGATACTTTTTGTTGTACCGAAGCAAATCTCTTAATTATTACATGAGGATGAAGTGATACGGAGAACCGTATTTGATCTGTTGTTATTGCTGCTGGAGGGTACATGCATAATCCGCTCTGTGTATCATTTGTTTTGATTAAGCTGGTATTGCTTTTGATATTTCTCTGTCTGGATTTTGTAATTGGAACAAGCAAAATCGCTTGTAGGACATGTATTTCTGAAAATGGTAACTATCTATCTTTGAAGAGCCCAACAAAGCATTTAGAGTTTTATTGGCAAACAATAGGTTGAGCTCGCAGGCTTATGCAATGGTGGCCAAACAGTTCAATTCCTACCATATATTTCCTTCTGAAACTTTTACCGGAACTGAACTGTTTTAGCTGAAAGCAACAACATGGGACGTCTGCAATGCAGACAATCAACTAATCAACTAATTAAGCGAATTTTGCATGTGTTCAAAATACCGGAAAGATTTTGTGAGGAGTATGAACAGATGGTGAGAAATTTTTGGTAGGGACATGATAAAGGAGAACGGAAGGTACACTCGATTGGTTGGGAAAAGTTAATGAGTCCCAAACTATTCCGAGGACTTGGTTTTCGGGACATTAGATGCTTTAACCAAGCCTTACTAGCAACGCAGGCATGGAGACTGTTCGATAATCCAGATAATTTATGTGCTTGGGTGCTAAAGGTGAAGTACTATCCAAATGGATCACTAATTGACACGGCCTTCCCTTCAAGTTCATCGCCGACTTGGAAGGGCATCGAGTATGGACTAGAGTTGTTGAAGAAAGACTTGATATGGATAGTTGGAGATGGGCACCAAATTAAAATCTAGAGGAGTCAATGGGTTGCACATAGGGAAAACCCAGTGATTCTGTAGAAGAAGGCCTGGAATCGTCTCACGTATGTACATGAGCTCATGTTGCCGGAAACCAAAACGTGGAATCAGCCTTTAATCAGACATGTGTCACGCCCAGAAATTCACTAGTAATTTCCGAACTAATTTGTGCATTAAATCCTCGTCCAGGAATCAGCCAAGGTACACAAACTGACAATTTAATATACAGATTCATCAAATTAACTAAAACGATAAATACTTACTTAAGAGGCACTTAGTTCTCACCATGAAGAAAACTGCAGCGGAAAATAAAATCTAGCGAAGCTCCGGCTCCACTCCCACAGGCAGCTCAACTGGGGTATGAGCCAAACGTCTTCTCCTTCTGAATCCTTTTTCTTCAACTGAGGTTTGATGGTTATTGCAAGGTGAGCATATGACATACTCAGCAAGCCACACAACAAATATGCAAGTGCACAAGGATACCAAAGAATGGTATAATATAGGGCTTATTTGCAAAAGCAGCATTTAGCAAACTTTTGAGAATTGTAAAACAGTAGAGCAATTAATCATCAATATTAATCAACACTGTACAACACACCCATGCTGCACAGGCCCAACCATCCTGAACAACCATACCCGGCTGTACAGATCTATCTCCAAACCAGGAATGTACCATTCCAAACCAGGAGCTAATCAAATTATTATCAGTTATAGCATCTTTTATTATGGTGAGAAGTGTGAGACTAATCACGAAAGACATTGTTAGACCCGCCCATAACTGCGGGCACGGCTATTCGAATAGTTTTACTCTGGCCAGAGGTGTACCACTGTACCCACAAGACACAGCCCCACGACATGTCACCATGCGCCTCAATACCACCACGGTACCTCGGAAAGGAGCTGTGACAGTACCCCTCGCACAACACAATCCACCACAGTGCACCGTTCCTGGATCATAATCACCCCCTTATAAACAAGGTATGGACTCCCCAGCGACCCCCGTGGGCTTATCTCCGCCACTTCTCAGTCTAGTGCTCCGCAATGAACCATGCTATATAAAAGGTAAAGCCGTTGCCCATACTGGCTTGTGGTTGGCACGGTTAATGTTTCACAACCGAAACTCATGAACCGGTCCTTAATTGTCATGAGCACGACCATCAAAACCATGTGCTCACAACCCACCATTATCAAGTTTTAGTTGACAATTTAATTAATTAACCAATCACGATTGACCATCGTGAGCTTCCATTAAATATCCATAAGTGATAGTGAAGCATGATTTATCCCATTAATGAGCTAATGTTTCTAAGCACGGCTAAGCAACTATAAATAACATCTAGCTGAACCAATCCAATATATAAGGTCCATGCTAGTCAAATTATAACCCATAGGAAAATAAAGTCATCTTTGGCCATAATTAAATGGGAAAGGCTCACCACCCAATGACATTCGAAAACAATGCATAAGTTGAAATAAATCAATAGCTTTAAACAGGTTCAACATGCTCAAAGGGTTGTTTGGGGGATCTGTGTGACTTGCCTTACAAACAAGCGTCTTCAATTCGTCTTCAGGAACTTCTCCAACGAACGAACGATCCTCCGAAACAACGGGAAGTCTAAACCTAAAACGCAAAACAAGGAAAAACACTAATAAAAACCAAATGAACAGTACAATTAAAGTTCATAAGGGTAGAGTTTGAATTTAGATGAATTATGAGACTTGAACGACCTCATTCCGAGTTCGTATGAATTAGATATGAATTTTACAAGATTTAATTCCAATTAAACCTATTAAAGAAAAGACTATTCCAAATTGATTAAACAATTTACAAATGATTTATAGCTGAGACAGAAGATTAAAACATCCTCCGGAAAAAGATTAGATCATATTTAGTAGATGACATATATTAAAAAGGAATAATATGTCATTGAAAAGAGATGACAAATTTATATTAATTTTGGATGGTCAAGATGGCGCTGATGCCAGCGATGACATGGCTGCCATGCAGGATCGACGACCGCAAGCACGGGAACGGCAGTTACCAGCGAACCACGGTACAAAGATGCAAACGAAGGGCACCGGGAGAGAGAGGAGATCAAGGCGACCCTTACCACCACTTACGCGACCACAGACGGCGAGGGAGATGGCAGGCGACGAGGCGGCGACCTTGGGTTGACGATGGCGACGGCTTTCCGGCGACGAGAGGCAGCAACCGAAGGGCGGACGGTCTTCACCTCGGTCCTGCGATCCCGAGGGTGGTGACGGTGAGTGAAGGCGGCGATGGACGGCGACGAACGGCGCGGCTGAAGATGGAACAGATCGGCTTCACGGTGACGACGGGCTTCCCGGGGTCTTCGACGATGGGGAAGTGGAGGCCGGTCTTCTTCTCCTCGCAAACTCAACGGCGGCAGCGGCGACCGAAGGCGACGACCACAGCGACGGCGCGGGGCTGCTGGAGCGGCGGCCGGAGGTGGAGAGAGAAGGCGAGCGCGGGGAGAGCGATTCCGGCGAGATTCGGCGCAAGGGAACGGGTGGCCGGGGTAGCTCTCACCCTTGCGAAGCCGAGGGAGGCGACGGCGCAGGTCGGGGTCGACCGAGGAGGCGGCGCGACGCGGCTGGAGGGTCACCGGCGTCGGCGGCGGCTAGGGCAAGGCGGCGGCGGCGCTACAAGCGACGGCTCGGCTTGGGACTTGAGGCAAACGGAAGAGGAGGCCGAGGGGATGCTATTTATAGCCGGAAGAGGGAGAGATCGGCTCGGGAACGGATGGAATCGGCGACGGATTAGGTAGGGTTCGCCGGAAAAAGGAAGGATTTGATCCGCGAAATTGGAAAGAATTTCCATATAAACTTTTGGGGATTTCTTGGGGGAAATGAAGAGGAGATTGAGAGGATTCCATTCCCACAACTAATTTGGAAATAGGAGCAACGGAGAGGACGAATTTGATGGGGAGGCGGCGCTGTACACGGGCACGGCAGGGAGGATATCGGCCGGCTGGAGGTTAGGGGCGACACTGTAGCAGAGGGGGACAAAACAGACTTATTTCCGGGCTTCATTTCCTCGGCCCGATTGAAGGAGGAAGGCAAATAGAACTTCGTCAGAGAGAGGAAGAGAAGATGCAGGCTCGGGTTGGGCCGGCGGAAGAGAGAGGAAGGAAGGGAATGGGCCGGATTCGGCCCGAGACAAAGAAGTGGATTTTGATTGACTTTTTAATTTAAATAATTGCTGAAATGATGTTTCATTTATTAAAAATACTTATAATGCTCAAATAATTCCGGGAAAAATCCAGAAAATATTTGGACACTAAAAATATTTAATAAAGTTTTATCTATATCAATTTAATGTTCAAAATTTTCATATATTTTATTCAAACACTTACTTTAATTATTAAATAAATTCTAAAAATTCCTTTTTTTACAACAATTTATAATATAGCGATTTTCAGGGTGTGACATAGTCCAGGAAAATGATGCATCCGAAATTCTGAAGATCAAAATACCTGGAAGGGAGATGTCGGACTTTCCAGCATGGCATCTTGAGAAGACAGGAATTTTCACTGTCAGGAGCGCCTATAGGTTAGCATGGAATCAATCAGGGAAGGCTCGTGTGGAATCTTCATCTAGCACGGCGACAAATGGTGAAAGGAAGCTTTGGAAGAATATATGGCAAACAAATGCTCAACCAAAAGTGAGAATTTTTGCATGGAAGCTAGCCAGGACAGATTGCCCACTTGGGGAAATAAGGGCCTGTTTAATTCGCGAAAAGAAAATTTTTGGGTGTCACATCAGACGTTTGACCGGATATCGGAAGGGGTTTTCGGACACGAATAAAAAAACTAATTTCATAACTCGCGTGGAAATCACAAGACGAATCTTTTGAGCCTAATTAATTCGTCATTAGCACATGTGGGTTGCTATAGCACTTATGGCAAATCATGGGCTAATTAGACTCAAAAGATTCGTCTCGCGATTTCCCCCCTAACTGTGCAATTAGTTTTTTAAAAAATCTATATTTAATGCTTCATGCATGTATCCAAAGATTCGATGTGATGTTTTTGGGAAAAACTTTTTGGGAACCAGGATTCTTGTGGTTCCGGGGAATCCAGCTACAGGAGAACCAGGAACGGGGAGCTCTCCCCTGCCCTAAGAGAAAGAGAAAGATAGAACAGAGTGGCATATGCCCGATCTGCGGGATGGCTGAAGAGAACGGGTTTCATGTACGGTGGAGTGCACTCTAGCTAGAGGTTTACGGGAGGCAATGAGAACACATTGGCTATTGCCGGTTGAAACGAGTTTTGCATATACAGGGCCGGACTGGCTGTTAGTGCTGCTGGATAGTTCGCAGTGTTCAGAAAAGGCACATGTTATGTATTTACTCTGGAGAGTTTGGCACCTGCGAAACAACATGATCCATGGCAAAGGAAGTGCATCAATTGCTGATTTGG